CCGGCACCGAAATCGGAACCGAGCTTACTCGCTCGGCCCCCAGGTTCAACCCAGAATCGAGCTTACTCGCTCGGTCCCCAAATTCAATTCGGAGCTGAGCTTACTCACTCGATCCCCAGATTCAATCCGTAGCCGAGCTCACTCACTCGGTCCCCAAGTTCAAATCGGAGCCGAGCTTAATCACTCGGCTCCCAGGTTCGATTCCTGCCCGGGTCGCTCCAGATCGCCCTGACTGGCGACCCGCCGGCACTGAAACCGGAACTGAGCTTACTCGCTCGGCCCCCAGGTTCAATTTGGATTCGCCCCCCGAGTCACATCTTGGTCGATCCAGCGCCCAAATCACCGGCCTAACCCATTATCCAAGTCGCTTTACGTCGACTCTGATTCGCCCCCCGACAAGTCTTTAAATCGAGCCGCCTCGATTCGCTTGCTGACTTGCGAACTCCGCAGCCGTAGCTCTGAGCCATGCGAAACCCGTCATCTAATCTGAGACACGTCGAGTTCACTCCACAGGTCTTGTTTAGTCGATTTCGATGTTTACGTATCGCCTCATCAGGCCCCCATCGTTCGATCAGCATGATTAATCCTATCCAAATCACGGGGCACCGCCCTTCTAAAAACCGCTCCCCGACGAGTCAATCTAGCTTCCCCGCGCGGGCAACCAGCACAATTGTGTCCTTCAGCCCCAAGCATGTCTCTCGGCCCATTAGGGACCCAACGACATGCCTTGGAGGTGGGGGAGAAGTGATATGACATATTTTGGCCCCCAGATGAGTCATCATCGACATCACATGCCACGTCCCAACCAATATCAGAATCCAATGTCGCACGCCATCAGAACCCCATGACGCACGATAAGCCAGGTTCCATATCGAGACACTATAAGACACGACTATCCCGAGGGCTCAAGGCGGTGTCGTCTTACACTACTCAGGCATCCCCCAAGACGCTAGCTCGTTAGAAAAGTCGTCCCATCCCACAAGGTCAATGGCCACACCGAACCGAGGCGCAACCAATCCTCACATAATAGTATATAAACCCCTGGCCGATGCCCGGCCAGAGGAGGAGAAAAAAACTCAATATCAAATACTCCACTGAATTGCTCGTCGGAGGGGCCAAAGTCAGGAAGCACCCAACGAAGGCCATTTTGCAGGAAGGCGGACACCCCCGAATGGCGAGCGCCTCAATCCGGGAATTCTCATCCAGTATACAAGGACGCGCTGCCATTCATCCCAGAGTCGGAGAGACGCATCCCACTACAAACGGCGCCCAGGTCGGCAAACTGAGAAGCTTGGATCAACATCCTCTCACAAAAGCCCAACCGACTCTTGTCTGAGTTGCTCCGAAATGTCCACTCCCGACCGACGAACATCTCAACCCAGGAGATGTTCCCAATATCGACCACTCCTACCCACCGCGTAAGAAGCTCCCGATATCGACTCGCAGACCTAACCTTGCTGACTCATCAGTCATAGTACTTTTGTTCACTAACTCACTTGACTTAACCATCGTGCACTTTTGGCAACACATTTTGTGAATAGGCTTCCATGTTTCATCAATAACAAATCAATCGTATACTATGTCTTTATTATCTCACTGTACTTAACCTGCCTTGACACAGTCAGATTCGTTGGTCGATAATAATTGGATTCTAATAAAATATTTAAATATCAATATATATATATATATATATATATCTAAATCTTGAATATTATTAATTTCGATGAAAAAAATATTCAAGATATCTTTTTAGATCCTCTCTTTTCAAATATCGATATTTATCACAAAAGGTGTTGCCTTTTTGTGACGTGCAAAAATGGGAGAGAGGTGAAGACAGATATCGCCTATAATAGGTAGGACTTTTTGTGATGCTTCAAAAACAGGGGAGAGATAAAAGAGGGCTGATTTTATCGAAAACGGTAATAACAAGAGGTATTTCGATTCGATATCAAATAAAATATTTTGATTCGATATTGAATAATGATACACACCTCTTTCTCAGATGGTTCGTTATATTTTAATCTGACATTAATGTTTTTTTATTACAGATCTATTTCTAGTTAATGAAATTTAATTATAAAAATTATTATTATTATTATTATATATGTATATGATTGAATTTGTTCAATTATTGTTTTTTGGATTAATATTATTTCTGAATTATTTATTTGATGTATTATGTTCGATCAAAAAGATAACCTTACTTGCCAACGATGCAACACGGGTGAAACTGCTTTAGAATGCATGTTGCCAACCGTGGACGGTCGTCGCAGCTTGCTGCCATAGGAAGTGTGTCGATTGGGTGACGACTTGCTTTGGTCGCCTACAGGTGGAGGATCCAACGGATGGCGACGCTGCATTACCGACCGAAAAAAGAACCGTGGCTCATGATGAGGCAGTGGTGGCACTGCGTGCGACGATCAAGGGCCGTGAGGCAACGGACGACAGTGCTCATGAGAATGGAACGCTGAGGAAGAAGAAAGATGGGTTTAGGGCTTCCTGTCCCTTGGTTCGTTATTTTACCGGTTTTATCTCTAAGAAATCAAATATTTTCGAGATAGATATA